GCATGTTTCATAATAAAAATTGAGTTGCAATGTCAATTGACATAGAATTCATCCATCATTCTAGAATGACTTAATCTTGGGCTTGCCAATCCTCATAGCTAGGATTGACTTTTGTTGTCGTGTTCTCTACAACAATGAATTGGTTTGGACATTCTATTGTCCCTGATATATAACTATCAAGTTTACATCCTCTAATCAATAGTAAGACTACATATTTTTATAATGGATAATTATCTTTGTTCAATTTGATAAAGATTGTAAAAGGTAAGTCATTTTTTTAATTGACAACGGATGACATGATAGTTGTAGTTATGGATAAAATCTGTTTGCTTGAAATATCTAATATTAAAATAGAAATATATATTGGTAATGTATTGTTTAAATACTAGTATATAATCATGGATGTAAAAAATACCTTTTTAAGTAATGATGGAAGAGAAGACTAATACATAACACTTTTATATTGCCAATGTATCGATCATCCTAAACCAAATTCAATCACTATTTTCGAACTTAATTATAAGACTTAATACATTATTTTGTCCCCAGTTTCGCTCGAAAATGTCAAATTAGTTCATCCTTTAAAAAATGCGTCAATTACGTCCTCATTTAATAAAATTTGCATCAATGAAATCCTTTCCGTTAAATCCATACAAACAGCGTTAACTAAAGAAAGAGAAAAATAATTAACGCCGTTTGTACGGATTTAACGGAGGGATTTCATTGATGCAAATTTTATTAAGTGAGGACGTAATTGACACATTTTTTAAAGAATGGAATAATTTGACATTTTCGAAAGAAACTGGGGACAAAATAGGGTATTAAGCCTAATTATAAAGGTGTGTAACTTTGCATGAGTGATTTGAAAAGTACATTTGAATGATTAAATAATTCGTTGTCTTTTTTTAGGGCTTGAGGAAGAATCTCTGCACAAACAAAAGACATTTGTTGATAAAATTATCCGCTTTTGTTTTGGTGTGAACAGGGTTATGCCAACCACACATTTAACCTAATTTCTAACTCCATTATATCTATATATATATATATATATATATATATATATATATAATATAATATAATATAATATAATATAGTTTCATGCATGAGAATTTTGGCGTCCAGCTAAGTTGTCGAATAATTAAATTTGAACTTATCAATAAGGCAAGGTAAACATATTGATATCTGAAAATACTTAATTAATTAACTTTTATATAAAGTATAATGCAATGATTGACTTTGCACACCAAAGAATGACTTTAATATATATATTTTGAAAACTGGGTTAATCTTTTAGTTAATAGAGGAAACCAATTAATATACTAAAATGATAAATTTTTGGAATCCGTTAAATACTACAAAAAAAATAAAAATTAAATAGCAATACATTTTAGAAAGAAAAATATATAGTCAATATATTGTCTAATTATAGACTAATCTAAATTTTTAAATTAAATTGATTACTAATTAATTAGATACTAATTTAAACATTAATTTTTTTATAGACAAAACCATAGTAACTAATGTCAAAGATTAATTTAGATTTTAATTTATAAATTAATTATAATCATTTTATTCATAATAGAGATTATTTTAAATATTAATAATTTGAAATTTATAAATTGGTATATAAGTTAATAACTAATTAATTTTTATCTCTAAAATCAGTTGTTATTTAAGAATTTTTGTAAAATGTTTAAATCTCAAATTACAATATTTTTGTTGAAATATTTTACATTATAAGTATTTTTATTCAAAGTTACAAAAATAAATAAATTTTGGAAAAAAAAATGCAAATAGATGTGTTCATTATAGAATATTAGTGTCGTCCAAATTTTGTTACCGTAAAGTATCCTACATCGACCGCGATGCCAACAGTTATTTTAAAAAACATTAAAATACAAAATTATTTTTAAATTATTTAGTTGTTGATAGAGTTGGAGTTCAGTGGACTTATAACAATGATAACTATTTTTAAATCTCTTTTATATATAAAAATATCTATATTAATATTAGATTGGTGTATTAATGATAACTAATATAAATATTAAAGTAGATAAAGTTAGATTTAGCTGATACTATTATAATACACTTTCTAATATTTATTATGTTAATATTGACTGAACTGATATTAATTTATATATCATTTATCATAATTTATTTTTAATCAAAAGTTTATAATTTAAAGAAGATAAATTTCAACACTTAGGATTTTCTTTTTAACTTTTATATATTTTGTTTTTATTTTTATCTATATTCATTTCTTTCTTTCCAACTTGTTTTCTTCATTTACATTCGTCTCTTTTATATTTACACATTTTTTATCCATATTTTTCTCTTAAACCATTTCAAAATTGTTGTCTATAATAAGCTTCATCAATGGATTTCCTCGGCCTTTCAAATGTGGAGCAGAAGTATCCACCCCAGCTATCTTGCACAAGTGTGTAATCAAGGAAGAATGCCCTAAAGGTGCCTTGTTGTTCATCGTGTTGACACACATTTGTATTTCATTGGCAATCACTTTACCAATGTTAATGCCCATATTTCTAAGCACACAGTAGAGGAGAAGTGTCCTGTTGAGAGTGATATCTGAAACATGAGAACATGGTTGAATGTTGCATGGGAGAATGACATCCAATACTTAGCAAGAGAAGTCAGATCAGTCTTTCTGATATTCACCACTGCACCATTTCTGTTCCTCTGGAAATGTCCTCCAGGTATACATAGAATACTCTCCACATCATTAAAATCAGTACCTTCCTCCATACAGAGAGCAAATTGGCACTGCTGTCCAACCTATTAAGTACCCAGACAGCTGTTGATAGAGTTAGGATCATATTTTTTATCCATATTTTTCTCTTAAACCATTTCATTTACATTTATCTTTTTCCTTCACTTTCATCTTCTTCATTCACCATAATTTTTATTTATTTCTTATTTATATTTTATTTTATTAAAGATGAAGAAGTTGTACGACATTTTTTAAAAATTACCTTCATTAGCATACGTACGTTAAATTAATGCAACTTAAATTATAAATTAATTAAATAATATTATTAAATTGACATCTATTTAAAATCCTTCGTGACATTAATTCAACTATTTCTTAAAAAAATAACATTTTACTCAAGACTTTCGATGTAGATAATCGAAATCTCATAACTACATTTTTTTTTTCATTTTCATAAACAACTTCATATTCAACCATGTAAATTTAGAATTATATAATTTATTCTCAAACCGAGTTCACACACAATTTCATTTATTTCTATGCATCCAAATTTCAATCAAGCTATACAATTATTCACGTCATTTCAAAATATTGATTTCAAACTTTTTCTCAATTCAACCATTTCATATGCATTTCTTAGAACTAATTTAGAAGAATTGAATGCTACTCCAATAACACTATGCACAATTGTCAAATTCATCTCAAAGTCTTATATTGCACATTAATCAAATTAATCTGAACTCTTTACAGCAGTGTCTATCCCATAATTTTGAATGTAATTTAATCCTTCAAAAATCAAGATAGAACATTCTTCCAAAATTTGAAATTTAAATTTTAGAACAAATTTTTTCTTCTTTTGTGTTGGGATTTCTTGAAAACTAAGAAAAATAAATGTTGGAGTGGATGATTAAAGATTCCAATACTCTTTAATCACCTCCAAAATAAAATCCTAACAACCAACATTTCAAAATAACCTCAAAATGATATAAAACTCATATGCCGACATGCATATAGATTATAAGAAGGATAAGAAGATATTGAAAAGGTTTTCCAGTTTCAGAATTGGTGTTATGTCTACACTTTTGCTGACTTGTGCTTAATAGGACCTAAATGATTTTCTAATTTATACTGATGGTGCGAAAGGGGAGGAAGAGTGTTTTCAAAAAGGCTTTTAGATAATAAAGAGAGTGATACTGATTTTTTTTGCAATAATGACAAAATTATACACATTTACATTTCACACATATTATAAAAATAAAATAGTTATAAAAAATATATATTTTTATGGAAAAAATATATAAAATGAATTTAAAGAATCAGTATGCGTATCATTTCTATTTTTCTTTTCACTTTTATGAAGACAACTTTCTTATACTATTTCTATTCCTTCTTGTTTATAATTAAATACTAAGATCCAAAATCAAACCTCACCCAAATAATTTAACTTTTCTGATATCTACATCCTCATTTTAACTCACATCTTATATTAAATAATAAATAAATACACAATTCAACTCAAAATTATTAAAATTCACATATACAAATTGTTTTGGGTGTTGGATATAGAGGTGAATAGCCTAATTACAATGTTCATTTTAAAGTTATCTTTGGATAATGTTATTCATTTATTGAGTTAGAAAGTTACTTGCAAAAGGTATTATAATACTAAAGTCAATAAAAATTTGATTACTTAAATGTTAATGATGTATTAAATATAATTATTTATCTCCTGTTTATATTTATAGATTTCGAAATAAATTTTTGATTAACAATCTAATTACCTTGTCATTGATGATAATTACATTTTATTTTTCTAGGCTGATTGTTTAATCATATTTCCTAACTATACGATCATAAAGATAAGAGTAATGGTAGAGTGACACATATTTACATTCATTTGACACATCTATCAAGGATAAAATAATTATAAAAAAGTTAATTTTTATAGTTTTTCGAAAAAGAAAAAAATAAAAAGTAAGAAAGAATAGTATTAAATAAATGTAAAAAAATTATGTGTTATTTTTCTAAAGGTAATAGATAGTTTGTATATAATATAACCGGACAACCATACACAGATAAAATAAAAACTTAATCCTCACTTATTTTTGGATTACACAAAAATAAATGGATTAAAAAATACTACTTGTTTATATTAATTAGTAGTGTCATAAATTTTCCACTAATATAAGAAAAGCCAATTCTGTACATTTCATAGAGTTTTTTTTCACATCCATTAGAATAAGCATACAATTTATATACTTATCTGAATTTCAAGGTGTTTATTAAGTTAGAGTTAATAGGAAGAGATCTAACTCGATCTTTCTCTCTTCTACACCGTTGTCTGTACTTGAAAATCTCGATCTCTGCACATCGTCATCTCCCTTTCTCAGTTTTGTGATCATGCACCTTCTTAGACTTCAACAGTAAGAGACAGATTCCAATTTGCATGAACGATACATCACTATCACAACACATCATCATCATCTTCTTCTTCTACCATGGCCTTTCCACCTTCTCACAGCTTCACGTTTCACACGCACGAAGAAGATCACCACCACCTCCCTTCAACCTCTGTCAACGCCTTTCCCTCTTTGCCACCCCAACACTTTCAAGGTTCACTCATCTCTTTCTGTCAAAACACAGATGTCTTGTAGCTATATATATTCTTTGTTCTTGAAAAATTATGAACTCATGTTTCACTTTAGAGTTAGATAACATTATATGCAAGTACATATTCTCTTGTTTGTCGAGTTCAATTTCTATACCCTTTTACTCTTTTTGGACATGCTATCAGAAAATTGGGTTTTTTCTTAATGTTGCAGGGGGTGCACCGCCATTGATGTTGAAGCGGTCCATGTCGTTTTCAGGCATTGAGAACAAGTGCGATGAGGTGAACGGAGATGATGAGTTATCCGACGATGGGAACTTTCAGTGTGGGGAGAAGAAAAAGAGGCTGAATTTGGAACAGGTGAAGGCTCTTGAGAAGAGTTTTGAGTTGGGGAACAAGCTTGAGCCAGAAAGGAAAGTGCAGTTAGCAAAGGCTTTGGGGTTGCAACCAAGACAAATTGCCATATGGTTTCAGAATAGAAGGGCCAGATGGAAAACCAAGCAATTGGAGAAGGAATACGAAGCACTCAAGAAGCAGTTTGAGGCAGCTAAGGCTGATAATGATGTTCTTAAGAGTCAGAATCAGAAATTACAGGCAGAGGTAATATTGGTTCTAGCTTTCTTCAAATTTGTGTTTGGATCAATCATTCAACTTCCCAATATAGTCTCCTTTTGGATCTAAGTAATAATAAAGTGTTTTGTGAAATGGATCAGGGGAACAAGAACTTAATTACTGATCAGAATCTAGGGGTTAGTATTACTAAACTGTTTTTCTTGATCTTGATTCAGATATCTGTAGTATGATTCCAATATTAAAATATTCGTTCTTGGTAGGATTCTTCTACTTTTGGAAAGAAAAGCATGAGTTTGCATCATTCCTCTCTTAAATTTTTCTTCCAAAAATTTAAATTCTGTTCCTCACTTCCTCTACACATGCATTCTCGTCATCGACTTTATATGTAACTCAATTTGTTATATTTTGAGAGTAGAGTTTTCTTACTACTCATGTTTTTTTTTGCTTTATAAGAAAAGGAAAACCTTTCCATATTTTGAGTTTTGGTGCGTTTCATTTACTTCTGAAACTCCATTCCGTATTGTATCACTATAATGACACAGCATTGGCCACTAACTTTTTAAAGTGACTGATTCCCACATTAACTATTTGCTTCTATAAGTTGGTCATTAATTTGGTGAAGAATCTGCGTCACTGTCAGGCCCCATACCTGTAACAAGTTGCAACGTGTTTCTTTTATGCAACGTGTGTTAATTTTTGCCATGATTAACAGACGCATTGCACAGGATCCAAGTAATGTTTTAAGCTTTTAAACACCAGAATATATTATATATGATACTTGATCATCATTTTTTTCTACTATATATTAATGTTTGCAGTTACAAGCAGTAAAAAGTAGGGGTTGGTGTGAAAATGGAATAACCAGCCTTAAGAAAGAAACTGAGGGTTCATGGAGCAATGGAAGTGATAACAGCTCAGACATTCATTTAGAAATCTCAAGAGCACCAATTATGAACAACGCTACATCTTGTCAAGCACCTTTTCCCACCAGCATCACTCAGATCCTTCAATATTCGTCAAAACCAGATTTCCATGATGATGACTTCTGCAACGTGATTCACAATGCTGCACAACAAAACTTTTGGCCATGGCCTGGTCAACAGAGCCACCATTTCCATTGACCTATAAATGAATTTTGGTTCAATGATTTGATTTGAGGCTCTATCATACAACATTTTTCCTTCAGTTTCTTTTTTTGCATTATTATTTATATGCTGTAGATTGGTGTATAAAGTTTGAACAGATTAAATGTATGTAGTCGGTGGACTTTAAGCAGTGCAATTTCTTTCCCATAAACATTATTGTTCCCATACACATTATTGTATTTGAAAAATATAAAATAATATTTACGTTAGGCAGAGAAGTAAAAAAAAATATTAATGGTGAGTTATGGCACATGTGCCTCCTAAGTGGATTTCCAGCTCTGCAGTGCAGTGTGGACCATGAATAATTAAAAATTGGATTCTCTGTTTCCCTTCTTTAAGCACATATTTTTTTACATATCGGTACTTTGCAATCTTGACATTGAGATCATGTTGTGGAAAAATGCATGCAAAGCTCACCATAATAATCAGTCTAGCCATGGAGATTGAAAAGGATTATCTCTCATCTATATACGGCTTGAAAAAAGAGCGAATCTAGCTTGATGTAGTTTATTAAGAAAAACATTACCAAAATCAGGAAAATGAGTATGGCGAGCACACACTCCAAGAAGAAATAATTTATGTCCAACAGTTCCTACGTCAACTTACTGGTATATAGTAATTTTATATATACTGCATATTTTTTATAAGTTTCCACAGCACACATGTAATGAAATTATATTTGATAATATTCGATATTATGTTATATAATTTGAAGAACATTTGTGAATGATCGAAGACCGGAAAATAGCTTGTATATAATTTTCCTCTTTGTGGTTTGATGGCACGCACGTTAGTTCTTTGCAGATAGCAGAAGTTTGAAAACCACAGACTGAAAGACTTGTATATGTAGTTCTTTGCATGTGCTAAACAATTCAAAATCTACCATCATTATAGCATTTTAGAAATTTTGGCAAAAGCACTTGTGTTGTTTGTGTTTATAAATATCTTAAATTTTTTGACAAACAAAACAAATGTTGTATAATTACACCCAAAATTAATAATGAAATTTGGCTACCCTGCATCTCCAAATCGTTGCAAGTACCTTTTATGAAAGAGGAAAATAGAAAAATATGTGTATATAAAACACCCTGCCACAATCTAAATAAATTCAGAAAATATAAATAATATTTTCTAATCAAGAATTCTCTCTCACACTCTTTTCTAAATTGCTTGAATATTATTTTAAAAGTCTATATATAACATAATATAATCCTCACATTTTATTTTCTAATTTTCATGTAAACCTTTTATCTATTGTTTTCTTTTTCTAAAAAATGCTTTTCCATATAATTTGTTTTACATTATCAAGTCCAACAATCTCACACTTAAAAGATTAATTTTAATTTGTTTTCGCTTCTCAATCAATATAATAATGTCTTGTATTTATTCTAGCAAGTCAATTGAAATTGAAGTTGATAACTTCAATTTATAAATGGTTAGTACTTTCGCCAACATATTTGTTAGGTTATGTTAGTATCTAATCCTTAATTAAATAACGATATGATGAAATGATAATATAGGCTAATATGTTTTATTCTTGAATGAAATATTGAATTTTTTATTAGATGTATATCATTAGCAAAACACTTATGTGGATAAATCTTAACTTTGGTAATAAACATTGAAGTCATATCAATTTTTTTATTAATTTTTATTATTTTTACATACTCAACTTTATAGCAAATTTATAAATGGTTAGTACTTTGCCAACATATTTTTGGTAGGTTATGTTATTACCCGATCCTCAGTCAAAGATATGATGAAATGATAATATAGGCTAATATGTTTTATTCTTGAACGAAATATTGGATTTTTTTTATTAGATGTATTAGACTCTAATTATCATTAGTAAGACACTTATGCGGATAAATCTCAACTTGTTAATAAACATTAAAGTCATATAATTTTTTATTAATTTTTATTATTGTTACATACTTAACCTCTATAGTGACGGTAGTGATGATCTTTTATATATGTTATATCCAACTAACACTTGTAGTATTGATAAGTTTGATAATTATTTATTATTCATACTTATTAGAATCTTTTATTTGTCTTTTTATTATTTATTTTATATTAAATTCCATGAAAATATTTAAGACCTATATATATAGTTGTTATAGTTAGAGATATTTATCTGTTTTTGGATTATTTTGTAGAAAAATGGAATATTGGAGAAGATTTAAGAGTTATTGTTAGAAGTCACTCGTCGAGCAAGTAATCTCCACTCGCCTAGTGAGACCTTGGTAGCACTAGCTTCGCCAAGAAACCCAATGAGCTAGAAAAAGCCACATGTCAGAAAAGTTATCTCTCATCCAGCGGGAGGATCATGTGCCCAACAATAAAACACTTTTTGGAGAACTATTAAATGTGTCGAGAGTTGAAGAAAAGTGGAGTTTTGGACGTGGAAACACTCTTGAAGCTCAAGATGTTGGTTAAGGCATTTCTAGGACTCAAGAACTCCATTTGCCTTCATACTTTCCATCATTCCATTCCATTCCATTCTTGTGTTCTCACTAGTACAAAAACAACGTACAACGTCGAATATTTTGAGCCTTTCAAGTCGAATTCGAGAACGACGTCATATCGGAAGACGTTAAATTGACGTCGAATTTTATCAATAAACGACGTTAATCAATTTTTTTAATTTTTTAAATTAATTGTGATCCTTTTTTACAACTCTACGTGATCTGAAAAGAAGAAAAACAACAAATTTCAGTTTTTGGTATTTTGTAAAGCATGAACTATGAACGTGTAATATAGTATCAACAATAAACAACAATGACAAACAACAAACAAGTCCAATCAAACAACAAACAAGTTCAATCAAACAACAACAACAAACAAGTTCACCCAAATAATAACAACAAACAAGTTCAACAAAAAATAACAAGAAATAAGTTCTTCAAAACGAAAACGAAAACGAAAACTAACCTTGATTCATCGGAATAAAGTGTTGTCATACGTGAGAGAGAGAGCAGAATGCGCCTATGAAGGACAACAACACGAAAACAATCGGTCAAAACAAACAAAAATCATACCTAAAGTAGTAAATTAACATGCATTTGTATCAAATGAAAGAAATATTACATGTGATGGTCGTCAAACTTCGTTAGAGAAAAGTTTGAGCAGAGAAGAGAGTCTCGCACGCTAAGATAAAGTGAATGAATTTTCAATCTCCCGCTCAAATTTTTATTGAATTAACTAATTTTGACGTCTAACGTTGGGACATTCGAAGTTTTATATCATTTTACGTCGAATTACAATTCTAAACGACGTTTAATTATTGTATTTATTTACAAAAATGTCACCGGTCATTTTTAACGTTGGCTATTGAGTGGTTCGACGTTGAACGCGTGACGTTATACGCTGCTTTTGCACTAATGTCTAGATGTATAGTAGTAACCAAACTCCATTTCATTGAGGTTGAATGTAATATACCTAAACTCTTTATAGTTCTTTCTATGCAATATAATATCTTTCATATTTCTTGTGTTCTATCATTCTTATTCACTTGCATGATGAAATATCTATACTATTTTGGTGGTATCAAAATCATTGAAAAATGTTTTCGAACCTAGACATGGATAAAACAACCAAGATATTTGGCTTTAAACATAGATCAAAACTTTTGGTCATTCTAGACATCTTTTCTTAATGCAAATATTGTGTTTGAATATCTAAGAGATTAATATTTTTACATAAAGATTTATAACTTATCTCTAAGGAATTATCGCTTGTATACTTGTGATGTGAATGCTTGAATATGTTAGAGATATATTGTGTGATGAGTGCATAGAGTTTGGGTCATGAAGTCCAACCCTGATGAGTCTTTACCCATATCACTTTATAATATTTATATCTAGTAATTTTATATGTTTGTAACTTATTTGAACCAATCACGGTTTATATTCATTACTTAAACTAGTAAATAATCATAATTATTTAAACAAATGCAAATCCTTTAGGAAACGGTACTTTGACTTACAATCTAAATTACTTAAACAATTTGGTGTACTTGTCAAGGAGTTAACAAATACTAACAATGAAAATATATTTATTCGTATTTCTTCAATGATAGATTTTATCTTTAAAGTTTGCATCTATAAAGCCCTTTTCATTTAATTCTATTTTACTAAAATACTTTTTTAGGGAGAAGTAACATTTTTTTAATCTTTTGATTCTTCGTGCATGCATTCTTGCATTATTTATTCATAATTCAAACACCCAATTGTCTTTTAGTTATGAAAACTATGATAACTCTCAAACCTAGACCTCCTTTCCTTAGATTTACCATGTCAATTTCCTCTGGTCTCTTGATGTTATATGAATAGGTTGAAGATTCATCTAACTTGCTCTGTTTAATATCTTCGCTAAGAACCAAATCAAAAATATTGTTGAATTTTAACTTATTGCTTCCCAACAAACTACTTACAATTATGATAATAACATTTCAACTTTCTGGTAAAGAAGACAAAAATATTAACAAATTATACTTCTTCATTGAATTTCATTCCAAATGAACTCAACTGGGTTGTGACTATATTGAGTTCATTCATATGTTGTGTTGCTAATACACCTTTTAATATCCATAATTTAAATTGGGTTGTAGTAGATAGAGGCAGCAAACATTTTTCTAAAA